TTTTCCAGCTCAGTAAATATCAGTCTMGTAATGCACGCAATTTTYTATWGTGGTTTTTTGCAATGTTTACTAGACTAAKGTACTCACTGTGTTTATGAAGAATATGCRGAATKGATCCAATTAATCGCACACCAGAAATCCGCAGAACATTTCAACCAGACTGGTTACCAYTTGAAGAACTATCGTTCAAAGCATATTAAAAWWGCAAGCCCTCATCTCGTAAATAAATACATATTAACTAACTTATTTATACAACGTTATACTAAYAYAAYTTATACAATAACTTAGCCAAAATTGATATTCGCGTTAATGCCAACCACTTGAAAATATTTGCAACCATAAAATATATTTGAAATTAATGGGCCTAAATAGTTAGTGCATGGGCACTACTCTAGTCGCCTATGGGTAGTGCTCCCAATTTAATTTGTTCTAATAGTTCTGGCAAAACCACCTTGTGAGTGTAATTTGCGGCCAAAAATTTCTCTATAAAAGTTACGTTTTTGAAAGTAAAATAATTGCTTAATAACGACAAATCATCAGAGCAAATTTGCGCTATTACAATTTCATAAATCTGAAACAGCTTCTGGTATGTATCGTGATCTAAATCTTTCGAAAAGTCGAATGGCAGGTTGCCGTCTTGGTCAGCCGCAAATAGCACACTTAGCCGAATCTTGAAATCGCATTTCGACTCAATCAAATTTAACAAAACGTCTACAGCCTTACTGCATTTCCAGTAAACACTCTCATGTAATATATTCCGACCTCTATGGTCTCTATGTGGCAAAAATTCCAGAAGGCAAATGTTAAAATCGGCTTTATCAAGATGTTCTTCCAGCCAACTGAAAACGGCTTGAACAGTCGCATGGAACTTTCTTGCCGCCGCTAAAGCCAACGATGTTCTTCGATCAGTGCCACTGAAAGGCGTAAGCAGATGATTCGTGAATTCAATAAACGTGAGCCGTTTGAACCAGCATTCAATCAATGTTGTCACACTCTCAGTCTTTCCTTGAGCAATCGACTTATTCAAGAGGGATTGGTGACAGGGACTTGTGAACAATCCACAATACTTGCTGGGAAAGTGTTTTTTCATGAATTCTAGGAAAATGTTGATGGCTCCAGTGTTGTTGCGATACACACTGATTTCAACTGGAGTCAAACCTTGTTTGTCGCCGCATTCTAAATAGTCTAGAATAGTGTTCATTTTAGCATCTTGCGTATAGAGTAGCAACCAATCAAGAAATTGCGATAAAGTGCCAGCCATGGTTAACTTAAACGCTAACCAATGCAAAGGAGTTCTGCCCGAAGAATCTTTCAATGGCAACAACTCCATCACTTCTTGTAAACTCTCTAAGTGATTGTTCTGCGCCACAGACACATCAGTCACGATCTGAAGCAACTTCATAAACTCAGCCCCCTTAGTCCTACTGCAAAAGTGGAATAAAGTGCCGTCCTTTGCAAAACCGTTTTTACCGAAAACGTCTTTCAGTAAGCCTCGATTTACCACTTGTTTAACCAAAGTTTTCACAACCGCATCATTTTTGCCAAAGTCTCTGTTTAATAGCGCTACTTGCAGCATCGTCACTTCCCTTACTTGGCCATCAAGCACGATCAACATTTCCTTATGAAAATGCGTCAGGATTTTCGTGACATGCTCATTTCGAAGCGAGCCTAAAAACGTTTCTACAGTCCGAAACTTGGAGTTTCCAGAATAATTCAATTTTTGTTGATGTTGGCCAGGATTGTAAATAGTCGTATATAGAGGAATGCTGCCGTACGTTCCGGCTTTGCACAACAGAGCGTCACATATGTGCGGGTAAACCAGCATTTTATCAACAAAGAACTTGATGATATTGGGATAACCCATAAGCACGATCTTATGCAGGAAAGTGTCCCTGGAAGTCGGCTGCAAAATCTCTTCCAGTAAGGGCTTCGAAAGCTCAACATCTTGATTAGGATACTGAATGAGCATTTCATTCAAAAACGCAGTTATAAGGTAGAACCCGTCGTCTATGAAGATCGTTTTCAACAGCAAAGATTGGAACTCTTCCACCTTCAGTTTCTTCGCGAGTAAATCCGCTACGAAATAGTCTGCGAAGCTTCGATGAATAAACTGAAAATGTGAGTCCGAGTAAAGTATTAACAAACCTGCCCGAGCCAGAAGCGAAGGGGTACGAACGGGTCGTGGCCAATTTCCATCGGGGAACAAAACATTTAGCGCTAGAATCGAGAGGTCTTGACGTAGACCCTTCGACTGATCTTCACTGATTTCGTCTGACAAAACGCTACTCACGAAAACGCCTTTGCCGTAAAAGTAGATGTTAATTTTGCTTTGCACGAACATTTCGAACAGACTGGTTAATCCGATTTTTGCCGGCAACTGGAAGTTCTGATCAATCACTACTTGCCCCAACATGTTCAGCTGCAGGGGGATATCGATAAAGGATTTCTGCGAGTCGCGAATTGCCCAGTTCCATTGATCCACAAAGAACGCTGCAACCGGCCTAAAATGCAACTCTTCCACATCGCCGATGGAAGAACGCTTCAACTCGTCCGGACTGGCTTGCATCATTTTATTGAACACGCCTTCGTCGTCCTCGACGTGTTTCAAAATATTGCCGGCGATTGTCTGCAAATACAGCTGCAGCGTGGTGCTTTCTTCCATCTGCAGCAAATCCTTTACATTGGAAGCGAGTTTTAGCGGCCAGAATTTGCTCAAAAACCCCGTTTGGTCGTCTTTGGTCAAGTTGCTTAACACGTGGGCAGGTCGTACTAGTGTTTCCTCGAGAAACACTTTCTGCTGTATGCGAGTGGTGATCCAAACTTGTGCAACTGCGCTTTGCTCGAGCATTCGCAAAATTTTAATAACATGTTGCTGGTAAGTGGGGCAAACCTCGTCAAAGCCGTCGAAGAAAATCACAATTTTCGGAGTAACCGCGCGGTTAAGCCCGTCTATTCCCAGCTTGAATAGTTTTCTTTGGAACCTCTCTAATGGGTGCCCCACATCTGCCCAGAGGGCCAAGTCGTAGACAAAGTCCGAGTCCACAACGGCTGGAAGCTCGTTTAAGCTTTTAGTAGACTTTCTGCTGTCTAAGTCGCTCAGCCGTTGCCGTTGAAAGGCGTGATCGTTCAAGTTGATCCTCGCTATCCACAAGTCTCTATTGGCCGCTTTCATTTTTCGGCTTAAGCTCGTTAAGTATGTGGATTTGCCCATCCCTGGCTCGTTAGCGACAATGACGGTCTTCTGTTTTAAGTTAAGACTGGCGAAGGTTTGCTCATTTTTTCTGGGCAGCTCCATGCAGTTGGCTACGGAGCGGTTGATGTCTGCGGCTCTTCCCGTATGGGATTTCCAGTAAAAACCCGTCTCGTGGCGCTCAATCCAGATGACTTCCACATGTGGACGCTTATGGCGCACGAGATCGTTGAACATCCCTTCTTCGCCCGGCTGGGCCGATGGCGCACATATAATGCTGCCGGAAGCATACTGATTTCCCAGTTGAAAATCGGACGATGCTTTACTGACCCCCAGTTTGCTAAACGCCTCTTTGGTAATTCCTGTGACTAGGAAGACTGCATCCTCCACGCTGAATACTTCAGTGGTGAGCTGCTGTTGGTGCAAGCAGCGCTCGATGTAGCACTGAGCATCGTAGCCAGAGGAAGAAAACGCTTTAGCGTCGCCAATTGCGATTCGTCTTTGTTCGACCAGATGCTGCAAAGCCTGCTCGTCCACAACAGCAGCAGCTGACTCGATGTCGAGAAGATGGCCCAAAGCAACAGTTTCACTCTGCAAAAGTACGGGGGCGGCCAAAAGGGCTGTTTGCGAGGTTTTACTCAAGTGACTAAACTCAGTTTCGTCTGCGAATTTGCGTATTTCCCAGGCGGTGAGCGCACTTAACGCCCTCCAGACAAAATCGGATGCATCCGCTGAGATGAAAATAATCTTCTTCTGCTGTAGCTTCAGGCTACTCAGAAGACCTTCGCATGCATACCGGAATCCCAAGTCGCTCAAGCTGCCCCGCTGACACTCAACGATGGCCAGGAAGAACTTGTTTTCGATGCTGAATGCGTCGCAGACCATTTTCCGCACTTGAGTCCTGAACAGGCTCTTGAGGCGCACACAAATGAAGCTATCCTGATAAGCTAAACAGTCGATGCCACTTTCCTTCACCGCCTGCAGGACCTTCATGGTGCTCAGTCGGGTGGAGCCAGCGGAAATCGACAGAATCCTCTTGTCTGATAGTAGGAAGTTTTTGAACGAGTCGCTAGTCTCTAGGAAGCTGATGCTGTAGCTGTGCAATTTATCCAAGTATGCCTTGTTTAAGCCCGACGTCATCAATGAAACTAGGCGCTCCTGCAGTGCCTGGTAAAACGCTTGCCCCTGATCGCTTGACAGCAACGTGCTCCTTCCATTCCTGTATTCCATAAACCATTCTAGAATGTGCCGTTCAAATGAGTCGCTCAGCAAATTCGCATCGAGCAAACAAAACTGCTCGCCGAACTCCGTCTTCAGAATAATATTCAGCTGGGCAACGTCCGGGTAGTTCACAATCAAGCGAAATTTCCCCAAAAACTCCTGCAGGTGTTTGTCGAACCGCGATGGAATGCAAATCATTTCGATCATCACCATTTGACCGAGCAGCGCCTCAACGCTATTTTGGCATCGAGATTGTCCGTCTGCAAGCTGCAAACCGGCAACTTTGCCAGCCAGTGCGAATAACATTGGAGGCACACAGATGCCGAGGGATTTCCATTGGTCAATGCCATTTTCCAATTTAGACTTTAAGTCTTCCACTTTAGTGCACTTCAGGATGTCTGATCGCAGAAGCGTGGCAAAATCGGCCAGCTTCCTCAGTTTCTTCACGTCCTCGTTTACTTTAGCGTATGTTGGGCTCGAATTGTCCTTCAGTGAATCCACAAACTTGTTGCAATTATCGGCAGCAACTGCTATTTCCTGTTTCACCCCATCAATTGCTGCATAAACAGCGCTCTTCAGTTGATCGCTCTGGCCCTTATGGTGTTGAAATGCTTGCAGAGCGTTTTTCAAACTGTTAAAGTTGCATAAGTCTTTCAAAGTTTCCGAGAACCTTAACATTTCTTTGGCATTAGATACGATAACAGTTTTGTGGTTCTCTCTAGCGACACTTTTAAACGCCAGAGCCTCATTGAGCACGGGCTGCAGTTGTAAAGTCTGCAAAGCGCCTTGGATATGTTGGAGGCCAGTTAGAAGCACGCAACTCCTGCAGTTTTCTATGAAGGCAGACTTCATCAGGGTGGAAACGTCGTCGTGCGAGCTCCTATTGAACCGGTAAACTTGAGCATCCGATGTATTATTGGGGCAAAACAGAATGCATTGATCCGACAATCTGGAGCACATCAGGTGTTTTTCCCATTTGCCCACAAAGTCGTTGTACTTTTTCTCCCTAGCGCTTAACGATGCATCTTGCTTCCGTTTGTGCTTGGACAAATCAAGGCTGGTGTTCGTGCATAGCAGGAAATCCTCTAATTTTCCATCTTTAAATGTGGGATTTGCCACAATTTTACAAAAAGATATGAAATATTTAGTAATTGAAAAGTTGCCACTGTCGATGGCGATGAAGTCTTTTAAAGCGACGCGGTCCATGTGAGGATTGTTTTTGTGTTTGGCCTGCAGGAAGCTCCAGTGCCAATTATTATCCGATTTGCTCTTGTAGCGTACCACGATGTCATCGAATTTATCAGCCTGGTCCATTTCAGTGGCCAAATCGAAAATTTGGAATTTTGCGACGCCTCGGTGCGTGTAGAGCATGAGCAATTGAAGCTGAAAAATTGTGCCATGCAACGAAAACTTTAGTCCGGACGATGCATAAGTCTCAAGAGGCCGTTTCAGTTTTTTGTGCTTTTCACTATCAGCATTTATAAAATCTGAGACTGCAGACGATCGTTTGGACGTATCGCTACCACTTGCAACATTTAGCGAATCGTCCGGGGAAAATAACTTTTGGAGCTCGATATCTTCGGGTAATTTCTTTCGAACTAGTTCTAAAGCGCTTATTTTTTTAGCGTTGCTATAATTAACATTTGCCTTGTTTCGGATGAGTAACTCAATAATATCTCGGGATGCCTGGGTATTTCCATGTTTTTCGTCATTTTTGTTTTTAATTAACGATTTAACTGAAATATGCAGAGGACTGTCCGCCCCCGAATTGAAATCTTTGCAATTAACCAGTTTATATGCACTGGCTGGTGTTACTTTACTCAACAAACGAGCTACTTGGGCATAATCATCTTTACGTAAAGCACAAATAAAATCTACCTTGGCATCTTCACAGTCACTATTGCCACCGCCACAATCACTATCTGTCTCTTCACTGGAGTGGGGAATGGATCTTTTGCTCATTTTTGTGGGTTTTTTGCCCGAAATTCGTAGAGAACTGCTTAATTGCTAGTAATTGCACAATTTTCTGCACAAAGGCAAACATATGTTTGAAGACTGTATAAACTAAACCAACCATCGATCCAAGCCCATCCGCAATTGATAAGATAAAATCCTTAAAATAGCATAATCACTTAAACTTTTCACGGCCATTAATTACTCTGTATTCGCACATACAACATTATGAAGAGAAGATGATCTGTTTCGAAGTTTATTTAATTATTCAACAGAACAATAAAAACTTATCAACTACTTTAGAAGACTTGTCTTAACACTTTGATGGCGACAGTTCTCAAGTATTTAACAATATAGGCAAACAATAATTAATTATGTTGACGACACGAATTTATTGCTAAAAGTTATTCACAATTAGTAAAAAGTAGTCAAGACTTAACTTCAAAACTTGTAGAATGGTTCAGCAAAAACAAGTTGATTTTAAACGCACGTAAAACTAAATTAATTTCGATATCGAAAGACTACCAGACTTGGGGTTCAGTTGAATGAAAAACTCGAGTGGCCGTTTCATAATGACAAATTAATTTAAAACGATCATTTATTAAAGTTTTACCAGACCCGAGACTGGAATTTTCACATCTAAAAAAACGGTCATCAACATTTTTTTTGAGTAACGTTTTACTACTTTGTTCAAACAACTAAAAAAGTCATCTACATTTTCCCAGCAAAAAAACTGAGTCCAAAGAAAGTCGACGAGTTTTCTAGCAAAATCGATCTCTTAATTTTTTGCATAAAACATTCAGTTTGCCAGTATTTTACAGTAAAACGTTAGCAAAAACGCGGTTTTTCTGTTTAGAGACAGTGTTGTTATGAAATATTGTCCTAAAAGTGAAGAAACCCAAGTTTCCAAGAGTTTTCCAAATAAATAATTACAAACTTTCACTTTTTCAGTTTCAGGAAGTATTTTGAGTTTTGTCCATAACTCAAAACTGCAAAAAGTTTTCCAAAAATGTTTGCAAAGCAATTAAGGAGGCGAGTGATTTTTATCTTATATTTCACAGACAATACCTGAAGTGTCAGTATTTTAACTAAAAAATAATGCGATTTTTGCGTCGAAAGAATTGCTGAAGATTTTCTCTAGATGCATGATAATGAGCCATTAGTTAAAAGTGAGTAAATAATGGTGATTTCATAGCTTAGTATTAAAAAAGATTATTATTATCATCTTAAAAATTAATAAAATTTGTTTCACAGGATATTTAAATAAAAAACCTGATTTACAAAATTAAATTATATATTAAAAAGTATAAATGAACACAGTACAAAATGTGAGAACGACGAACAGTCATAAATTACACATAATAAAACGACAGCTAGCTTTACACGCATTTCAATTTCGCAGTATTAGCGATTGAAGAAAATAGGCTGTAAAACCAATTTTTGCGACTAGAGGAACTAGACTAATTAATTTAAAAAAAAAACAGTCTTATTTAAAGATGCATTTGAATGATGAATCGATTGCCTTTAGGACAATGGGCGTAATACTGTAGGAACATTTCGTCAACCGGTTCGAAAAACTGCACATTCTTACACGGACATAATATAAATATTAAAAACTACCAAACAAAATACTTATGACTTAAACACATTTAATTACAAATACATCCGATATTCTAATATATCTTTTGTCTGAATAAAATTGACGATTGCCACGAGATAAAAATAACACATTAACCGAACCATGCGATACAGAACGAAAACTATATATACGAAAGAAACATATTTAAGGCAGTCGGTAGATAAGCACAATAAACTATTCACAAAGACGCAATATACCAACTATGCAACAAACTATTTGCTGTAAATTAAACTATAAATCGATCATGATCAGTACACGAGGGCTGAATTCCGACAAATTTATGAAGATGCCCTAACAAAATTGATATCGAAAAATTCAAAAATAATCACAATTAAGATCCACACAATTAACTTATTACTGACTTGCCTCTAATTTGCATAAATTTGAAAAGTACTAACATTGGACTTAAATAGCATTACGAACTACAGTTAATGTGTTAATTCACAGAGTTGAACAGAAAGTCGAGACCTGAAATCAGATTGGTGCATGCAGGGTGTGCCGAAAGGTCTTCAAAAAATTTAAGGCCTGCAAAAGCTGTTAATAGCTTGTAACAGTTGGATTGTTCTTCGAACTAAGGTATTTTTCCCAGTTACTTAAACAATGGTAACATTGCGACCTTCACCGCAGGTTTAAGTTCATTTTTCATGTAGAGTCTGAACCATCCGAACCATCTTCAGCATCTTCTGAATTTCTTGCGCAAATATTAATATTATCTTTTCCGGACACCCTGCATATGTATATAAACACATAACTGAACGTTCACTTTGGCTCCAATTTAATCAATCGAACAATCAAACTATTTCGTACTAATGGGGCATTCTGTATCAAACAATAAAAACAATTAATTGCCTCTCGTTGGAAAACTACAATTTGGTGTAGAGTTTCCCTGGCACTCCTCTGGTGAAAAAACATGCATACGACAAGCAGTACTTGAATGAACTTTCGTTCTTCAACCACTAAGACTAAAACTGGATTTCACTAACTGAAACATACCAACACTAAACAATTATCACAAACCAGAATTTATCGTTTAGGAAAAACATTATTTGCTTTCTGTTGCTTTTCTTTTGAATCTCCGACCTTTACGGTATCCTTTTCCGAACCATCCAGCTTGAATTCGACTCTTCTCGCACGAACTACTGCTGCTCACTTCCTTGTCGCTACTACTCAAGTCGATGTCCTCCTCATCAGTCGTGTAGTCGCAACAAACGCAAACGTTTTGCTTCTCTCGCTTTTCCACTTTGCTGTATCTGAACTTTTCCTTTTTAAACACAGGTTCGGATTTGCCGTAAAATATGCAGGCAAACGACTTGTAATTCGCATGGCAATACTTGCATGAAGGTGTTCCGTGCTCAACAGGCTCAGAGGTTGGAAAGGAATCTTCTTTAATCACTGGTAAAGGGTTGATAATACTGTGTAAACCGGGGTAAAGGAAACTAGTTTGATACGGGTACAAGAACAGATTGCTGTACGGTCGGAAAATGCTGCTATTTAGAAAATTGTAGCTAAAAAGACTCAGGGATGGTTCGAGAATTCGGGTGTAAGTCTGAACGTTAGTTAAAAAACTATTAACTAATCCTTCGGGCGACAGCACATTGTCTTCTCGCTTCATATAGCCGTTGGAACTATTGCTAAAACTTTTATCACAGTCAAGATTCAGATCGGAATTATTACTAAGAGAACAGTCTTCGATTAGTGGCTTACCGTCTAAGTCAATTTGTACCTTAAAATCTATGTCATTATAATACTTATCTTCTAGATTATCATCTAAATTATCTTTCGATTCAACGTCTTGTACCAGGCAGGGTTGCGAGTTTGTGTGCAGTTCGAGATCGTTCAATTCGCAGGCGTGGTAGAAGATCGGATCTCGAGACTTTTGATAGCGTGGCACCGCAATTCCTAACATGTTCATAATTTTTTTAAAAACAACATCACACTTGCCATTTACTTTGATATTGGCACACTCGTCTTTGGGCGTCCACTGAAGATTGACGATGTATAGATTGGGTCGCTTTTTAACTGGCTTGTCCATTTGCCACAACCACGGGTACTTCTTTAAAACTTTAAGGCTTGAACCTGCAAAAGCAACAAATATTAATTAGTAAAAAATAAGCATTTCGATTGCCACGCAGAATGGCGCAGTTGATAATTGCATACCAATCTAGTTTTGTGTGTATATTCAATAATGACTCACCGAGACAAATAATGGTCGTTGCTTCTTTCGCATTCTTGCACGCGCCTTTCCAATTTAAGGGCCACTGTAGGCTTCCTCTTTCGCCAAAGTGAACAATGGTATCTATCAAAGAGCCGTTGCAGATGTAACATCTCCTGGCAAAATCAAACTCAATTACTATAACGGATGTATATTTTTGCACACATTCTGGTTATTAATTGGTTGTAGTGACTAAGCAATTTGTTCTAAATTATCAAAAATACAATTGCGATAAAAGCATTAGCTTGCACACATCCTGTATAATGTAATGTTAGAAGTTCACTTGATTTATGCTTCTAATCATGAAAAAATTGCCACATTCACCAATCTTCTTCACCGCACCAATACCTGTATGTTTTGTGAGCGTATCTGGCAGTGTTTTCAGTTACATCGAACAGTCTCCAAAATTCCCGATGAGGTTTACATGTTTTACATACTTCGATGTACATGTTTCCATGTAACTCTGATAGTGCAGTCCGGGGAAGCCCCGATCGCAAATGGAGCCCATCACAGTTTTGCGATACTACGTATTTGAGGATTTTCTGGCGATAAAGCTCGTATAGAGCCATGTGAGTGTACGTCGGCTCGGCCAGCGAGAGGTCGTGGTCTCTGGAAAATGTCGCAAAACAAAGAATAATGTGTGAATTTGAAAATCAACAAGTCCGATCTGAGAGCTCGTGTGCAGAGGAAATCATTCGTTAGTCCTGGTCTAAATTGAATATGAATTTGCCGCTTCGGCAATTTTCGCCAATATATAAGGCTACGAATGTAGTGTGTTTATTGGGGATTAATGGATAGACAATGGAGGATGGGGCGCCAGTTTGCAGAAAGCAGGTAAGAAGGATTATTACACACACTCAGAAAATTGAGCCACGGTGGAGGGCAGTGAGGAATTTGATTCCCGGGAATTCTTGCCGCTTTGAAGATCAATAATCCCATAATTAACTCAGTACTGATATCGCTATCAGTATTCACCAACAGAGTTAATTATTAAAACTATTAACACATTAACAAGCAATTTACCCAATATCTCTGCCCTCTTTAAGCCTGGTCCATATACCATTCGGTCCTCGATAATCAGGTATTTTGGCAGCAGTACTTATTCCAGCTCCGGTATAGACTACAAGATGTTGCGACTGAGCAATGGCTTGTGCTAAAACTTGGCATTTCTGTGTAAGGACTTCCTCCGGATCTTCGAGTTCCTCCAATCTCTTCTTAATTTGTCTCCGTTTATTCAACCGTTGCTGAACTTCATCCACGATACCTGAACATTCACTTAACGTTTTAAGATCGGCAGGATTGCGATCATGTTCAGACTTTTGCAGGATTAAGGAAACCTGTGCGAGAAAAACGAAAAATTAGCCATCGTTATCTAACAGATGAAGCGCGATTTATCGGGAAAATGATAAAGTTCATACACACTTTTCTTAAATTAGCGTGTCGTTCTTCTTTGGCACCAACTTGTTTCGGCTGCTGGGTTTGGGGGCGAAGTAGCCGAATACGTTTCTTTTCCACTTGTTCCATTTCTGCTTCTTCGCTGTCGGCCTGCTCTTCGCACTCCATACCGCTCTCCATTACTAGGAAAACGTTCCAGTTTCGAAAAACCCCAGCAAAACACTCACTTTCCTCATTTCGCACTCATTTCACCTCGTATTTTTACAGTTGTTTTGATTCGCTTTGTTGTTGACATTTCAATCTACTAATGGACGCGTTCACCAAACCATTAACAGGGTATGATCAAGCGTGACCAACGCAAAACAGGCCAGACTCAATGATTTGTCATAATCTAGGGCCGTCGATTTTTCTGAAATTTATTTTCAATTCAGACATATCAAAAGTTATTCCGCAGCTTCTAATTTTTTCACTCGATATTAACCAATTATAACCGTAGCATTGAGATTAACATCATTTGGAGCGTTAACCTAAAGATATTTTGTGCATGCGAAAATGAGATCGACGGAATTTATGTCGTCACAGCCCTATGATCTATTACGGCTTTTTATACAGGAATTCCGTCTGACAGCTGTTTTAACTTGCTTTCACATGTTGGCAGTGCTGGTTATTGACGTTTATAAAAGGTTAGGCGAAGAGCTCCATAGATTTTGCACTGTTTTGAGTATAAAACTTCTAAAAAGTTACATTATTCTCCCTCAGTGTTTTTCGCGAGCCTATCCACTGATTCGGAAGTTTTTGTGCTGTGTTTTGTATTATTTTAATGTAGCTGTTCACTCTAGAATGTTCTGATGTGATAGACATGGCGGCTACCAGAAAACTACAAGGTAAAATATTGTGCCTTTGTTGTAGGAGCTTTTGCTTTTGAAAGCCGTTTCATATAAGTAGAACTTTCGAATTAAGCACCTGATCGGATAGCTGCTAATTGGGCACTAGTTGCATTCATAAGAGGAGATTGTTTATGCTGGTGAATGTAAACAAAATGTGTGCACTTGCTCTCATTCTGTGTTCATATGTAGAACATACTGAAATTCTGGCCTATATTGGTCTGCTTGCTTGCCTGGTACAACGTCAATTCATCATCCGGGCAGTGGAACCATTTCTTTGGCTATCTAAAGAAAAAATCAGTAAGGTATAGACGCGCACATCGCTAAGACCAGACAAGGCACAGTATTAAAATCTAGTGGATTTTTGATAGCTACATCCAAATACCACTGTCGCAAAAGTATGCTAAACAAAAAACTGCATGAAAGTTGAAAATATACTGTTCCAAAAAAAGTGGCGCTCCAGATTGGTAAATTTCAAATTATCTGTTAAAAAGTTCCGAATAAAACGGTCAAATTCCCAAATTTCGAAAAGGTTTAGTTTCATTAAACAATGATTTAAGAAACTAGTCCTTTACCCAAAGAGCACCTACATTTTTTTAGTTCAACCTTCCGGCTATCTAAAAATAGTCTTGTGCTTTTGTCATCCAAAGTATCAAGCATATCAGGATTAACGTGTGCACGCTGGTCGATTCATGGCATCTTTTACGGGTCAATATATTTTTATGTGGTATCTGAAGACACCCTGTATATGTATAAGAAAGCATCCTCACTTTTTCGGGACACCACAGCAATTGTCCTTAAGGTCGTTTACACTGTTATAAATGGAAAATGTATTCTAAAAAAATGCTGCGGGGTTTGAAGTCAGTTGTTTGCAAAATTTCCGATATTGTGGCCTCCTAAAAGACAAAGCCTTGCTTCAATTTGACTCGTCTCAGAATATTTTAAGCCTTGGCATGCATTTTTTGGCACGCAAAAATGCATGCCAAGGCTTAAAGCAGCAACAACGCTACACATAAAAACTGATGATGGTGGAAAAATACACCGAAACGTATTTTGATTGATAAATAGAGACAATAAATGACTGAAACCCAGGAATGAATTTGATATCCAATCAAACTCATGAAAACTGCAGCAGCATATTTGGTTGATATATAAACACATGAAAATGTTAACATTAAATTGATTTTCTATTAGTTTTGTGAATTATTTTAGGTGAAATAGATCGGTGTCTAAAAAAAGTGACCGAAGGCGTTGAGACTTTCGAGGACATCTGGCAGAAAGTTCATAATGCCACGAATAGTAATCAGAAGGAGAAGTATGAGGCAGACCTCAAAAAGGAAATCAAGAAGTTGCAAAGGCTTCGAGATCAAATCAAAAGTTGGATAGCTTCAGGGGAAATTAAGGATAAAAGTATTTTGATGGATAATAGGAAGCTTATTGAAACTGTATGTGGCCAAGGGGCTTTGTTAAACGGGCGTTTCATTTCAAGTTTGCTTTAGCAAATGGAGAGGTTTAAAGTGGTCGAAAGAGAGACAAAAACAAAAGCGTATTCAAAAGAAGGATTAGGTGCTGCTCAGAAACTTGATCCGGCTCAGAAGGAAAAAGAAGAAATGCAACACTGGCTAAGTTCGTCCATAGATGAATTATCAATACAGGTAATTTTCGGAATGTTCTACGGCTTACATTTTCTTTTAATGGTTTTTATTATTAGACTGACTCCTTTGAAAGTGAGATTGAACAGCTGCTATCAAAAGGAAAGAAGAAACTGGATAAGGACAAACAGGAAAGAATGGACGAGTTAAAATCTCGACTCGAACGACATCGGTTTCACATACAAAAACTAGAGGCTCTTTTAAGAATGCTCGTTAATGAATCTGTTGAAGTTAAGCAAGTAAGATTAGGAAATCATTTCATTAATCAGTTTCGATCAATGTGAGTCATCTTGCAGATTAAACCTATAAAGGACAATGTAGATTACTACATAGAGTCGTGGAAAGAACCCGACTTTGAAGATAACGAATTCATTTATGATGATATCATTGGCCTGGATGAAGTGGAATTGTCTGGTGTGGGTTTACCTTCTTCAGGTAAGTGTCGTAATACGTTCTCTTTTTTATTCCCTTATGATTTTGTTTTTCATTATGTGCTTTATTTAATTTTCCCGATAATGATTGTTGAGTGCATGTGATTGGCCACCTCCGATGTTGTCCGAGGTTTAGTAATCCATCATATTTTCCTAGTTGTATCAAGTGGTTTTTGCTGCAAATGTTAATTGAAATCCTCGTTTGCTACGTTTTGGGCATAAAGAAAAATGTTGTTTCAATTGCTGAGAAAAATGTGAAATTTCATTTTTTATTACAAATGAAATAAATAAAAACAATTAAAAATATACAGTAATAAAGATTAGCTGGGCACAGGGGACGATGTGATCGATAAAAAAGATAAAAACGCAGTGTTCGATTCTGGCGAATTAAAAAAAATGTTGTTATCTGACTGAATGTATTTACAGTCCACTCAGGAAGGCAAACTCTGCGACCAACAACTTGCAGTTTTAACGGAACAATTTTCGATTTAGTTTACTCCTTAGAGTCTCCTCTGTCTGCTGGGGAGTAGATTTCGAGGTGTCCCATACATTTTCCATACTTGGAATGGGAGAGTGAACGCACGGGCTTGAACAGATGAAGCATGATTGTGACATGCACCTCCTCACCTTTTATTTTCCTAACATTTCCCTTGCGTGGCTTATAACACGAAACTAATAATTTTGGAAATATGAAAACAAAAAAGCCTGCGGGTGAATACTTTGCCGCACCAACTGGGAATTTTAAAGTTTACGAAAAAGTGTTTTAGGGACCGCTAATTTTTGCTCTGCAACTAACATGCACCATTTTCGGACACCCGGTTACAATAGTTTATTAATAAAGTCAGCTATTTTTAAGAGAGGTAAATACTTGATGTAAAAACTGGTCTGCATCAATTACAACAGGATTATCGGGCGCAGATTTGCCAATATGCGTTTTGCTGATTTTATACTTAGAAAACTGACCAGATATTACAATGTACTGTCTATAGCTGACTCGTTTTGATACACACATAATTATGTTTGCCGCCGCCGCTATCCGAGAATCCCATCCTCGTTCATTTTGTTTGAACCCTTTGATTTAAACGTTTAGCTACAACTGACAGTAATGATACAGGAGGTACACCTACATCGATGATTTCTGGTTCTTCGCCAATTGCCTCTCCTGGGCCAAGCATTCCCCAAAACTGTTCTAGTTTTAATCATTCCATTGAGCCCATCTTACCGGAAGAGAAGAAAGTCGTGCAGAAGGAAGTCCAGCAAACGCCTAAGGTAACTGAAGTTTCACGACTACGATGTCTTTTACGAGCACTGTGTATACTATTTTAGCCCATCAAGCCCACGCCAATTAGAGCAACCACTACGTCCTTTAATACGAGCTTAAATACATCGTTGGTTATTTCAAATGTTGCGTCCACAGCGCCCAGTAAGTATCGTCATTATTTCCTTTTGTGTTGCTATCGAGGGTGTGAGGTGATGTTTTATTGTACACCCCACTCAATACTGAATAATGAGAGAGAATAATGAATAATGTCTTCAAACCTCAAGACAGCAAAGACCTAAAAGAATCTAATGTTTCTCAATTTTGAGTACGTATGAATTTTAAATCTGATGATGGGGCTGTAGTCTCGCCGAAACGATGTAAAAAATGTATTTCACACTTTCACTGAAACCCATGAAGGACAAGAATATAATAACAATTAAACGCAGTCAGGAAAATAAATTTTAAAAAAATCTACGGAATGACCGTGATTTTGGGTTGATAGAAATTAAAATAGAAAAGCAAATTACTTACCCAATCCTGAGCATTATTGTGAATTAATAGAAAAGTGTAGAAGAAGAAATACATTTTCGACAAAGCAAATGCGGCAGCCGTATTTTATTTCAATGGAATCACTAGAAAAGTCCTCAAAAAGAGTAAAAAATAACGCGGACGAATCTGTCTTGGCTGCAAATACAGGGTTATTCACGGTATACGACACGGACG